TATTTATTTATATATAAGGATATATAGAGAACAAAATCATGCGTAAACATTGAATAATCAAGGAAGTTTTATGAATTATATTATTTTGGATGTTTCACACTCTATACCCTTCACTTCCTTACTTTCTCATGCATTTACATGTTTAATATAATAATGAGGATTCTCTCACTTTTTCATGAATCTAATGGTGATTAACACATCATTTTTTAATGTAATTGAAATGGTCATAAGGCCTTATCTTGTAACCTCACCTTTTTTTTTACATATTAATCTTCTGATAATCGATAATCACATTTGATTTTGACTAATCCAAAATCAAATTACATTGAACCCCATAAGGGACGAAACTCTCCAACGTCTATTTCTTCATTCACAAAACTCGAATTTATGATTTTACTTAAGAGAAATCAAGTTCTTTCAATTCAAAACAATAAATTGTTAACCTTGTGCTTATAACCTTTTTTTTAGTAGGTATTTAATACTTATAACTCTTACCACTTATTAGCCCTATATATTACACTTGCAAATGTGAATGTAAGGGTGTTTGTGGTGTGGTTTGGTTCGGATTTTAATATTTGTTAAACCAATCTAATTTAATCAATTAATAAAATTTTTAAACTAATCCAATCCACTATTATATGATAACCAAACCAATCCAACTTAAATTAGATTGGTGTGGTTTGATCGAATTGATCGGTTTTTAACATTATTAAATATATAAGATAATATAAAAATATTTTAATATCAAATAAAAAACATAACTATAAAACACGTTAACATTCAAATAAGTAAAAACATAATAAAAGGTATAAATTACAAACAAGTTCTTATACTCCTTTACATTTGTAAAAATTGAAAAGATCCAAAAAATTTTCTTGGTTACATCACTAGAGACTCCAAGAACAACAAAAGACGACTTCAAATTTCTAGTATAGTGTAAATAATTCTTAAAGGTTAAATTAGTTTTTTTTTTTCTTAATGCACTAATAATTTAATCACATCTTATAAATTATGTTATAAGCGAATAAAATTTAACATGAATGTCACTAAAATTGATTAAAAGCATTCATAATCAAAATTTAAAATTTCTAAACTAAATATCTAAGAATAGTAGAATATTAAAACTAATTTATTATATAGTTTTAAAACTTTTAGAATGATATTTATTTAAAACTTAGTTAGGAGAATCATAATATTATTTTAAGAATAAATTAGAAATTTAGGGTTCTAAGAGTAAAGGTGCAAATCAATTATGATGGGATAGAGTTGCGGGTAAATTAGAAATTTAGAATTATGGTTAAAGTGTATGATTAAAATGAAAAAATAACTTAGGGAATATGGAGATATTCTATTTTTATTTTTTAATTAAGTTAATGGAGTTATTATCTTATAAAATAAGAAAAAGAAATTTTAAAATACTACAAAAAATATATTATATTATTTAATTAAGTTATCTTGTAATTA